TGAGATGTTAAAGGGGGGGGGGGGTGCATTGTAACAATAACATTGCATTTTAATGCTTTTTGGCCAGTGAGAATTTCTGTCCATAGTTGTACGAGGCTTGGGGTTGCAACCCTCAAGTCCGTGTTTAGTTGGGCAGAATTCTGCTTTAAAAATTGGGCAGTTGTTTTAATATTGACTTTAAACAGTATTTCTGCAAGTTCGCATAGGAGTTATATTCCTTCTATTTTATACCTCTTGTTCATCTATCAATAAACTCATGACAATGTCGAGCAATTTCTGTCTACCCGTATGCCAATGATATATTTCAATGCTGGGAGTGGTATTTCAGAAAACCTATAGTGCACAAATTTTCTGGAGAAGCATGCCCACAATCATGGTAAAAATCTGTGAGTTTCTTTGTTGTTGTCTAATGGTGCTGGTACTTACATTGCCTCTCTCACTTTTGCTGTTTGTTTTGTAGTTTCCTATCAGAAAGATTAAACCGACTCCACCAAAGAAATTCCCATTAAAACTTCAGAAATGGACATTTGAGGAAGATAAAGCATTCATTGAATTCATATCTGTTGCAGATAATCATGCAATGATTGCAATTGAAGAGGTTTACCAATTATGTAATACCTCTAGATTGTTTTATAATTAAGCTAGAGCAAAAGCATCACCTTTCATATTGATAATAGAACAATATTGGTAGCAGTAGATTACTGATAGGACACATATTGATAACAGTAGATTACTGAAATGTTTACCCTCTGTAAAGATTTTGAAATACAAATACAATACTTAATCATATAATATTCATGTGTAATGGTGAAATGAATGTAATGCGACATTTTAAAAAACTTCTCTTTATTTGTGCACATAATTTTTTTTTAACTTAAAAACATTTTAATTATCTTTAAGTACAGTAATATTATGTTAATATTTTTTCGATTTTAATTAAAATAAATAAATTTTATAAACATCAATTATGTAGTGTGTGATCTTTTTATTAATTTGTGATGAGCAAGGGAAGACTTAACCTCATTACCCAGGGTTCTCTTTGTACAAAGAGAACCCTGGGTACAAGGTTGGGGAAGACTATACACTGAAAATCATGAAAACCATACATAGATTGTCAAAAAACTGCAGAACTGATAAGATGGTGTCCATGGTATACCAATCAACACTTATGCTACAATCAGGGAAGTGAGGAAAACACATGCAGTACAGGAAAACTGGGGTGGGGCCAAGACTGTAACACTATAAGCTCCCCAGCTCTATCCTTACAAATAAAAGAAATGTCAGTATCACACCAGACACCAACATACAATTTTGCAGCTTCTGCTAAACATTTTATTTGAATGTTTTTTAACCCATTGAGTGGCAGCACTCTCCCCCTGATGAGTAAATCATCTAGTGTTAGACAGAGTAAAATAATCTGGCGTTAGGCAGAGTAAAATGCAATGCATTACACAGTAGTCAATATAAATGCTGAATTTCGTCCATTTCATTCTCTACATTCACTGCCCCTCCTTCAGGTTCATCATCAACACTGCTACCACTGGGCGCTTCTTCCATTATTCGGTGTGTCCAAACAGGATTTATTGGTAAATTAAAACAAGTACAATCAGTTGGCTGATGTAAATCTATTGGTGGAACTACACTGTCCAGCTCATCATCTTGACTATCTGGGTCACATGGTGGGATTGCTTGGGATGTTGGTGCAACTCGTACCCAGAGCCATCGTTGAGGTGATGTTGAAATATCAAACTCCCCACAACATTGTTATATACTTTGTTACCTCCTTCCAGTGGATCATTAGGGTCGAAGAACTACATGATATGAAATAAAAATACGTTAAATACAGCTGTATTACAACAATTTTAAGCAAAATATATCAATCAGTCAATCACATCATAGATGACTGTATTTTATATATTAAATTTAGGTATAATACAGTATGACAGGATTTTTATATTTCTATTTTATATATAAAATCATCAATACCTTAAAAACACAACTAGAGTGAATTTGTACCAGTGCAGACTACCGCAATCAGCAAACAATTTCATCATTTTTTTCCTGTTAACCACAGCTGGACAAAGGACTATTCTTCAAACTATCCGTAAACTATAAACATGAACCTCACGGCATTCAAGTTCATCACACGGTAATCCGTCCGGAATCAAGATTAAAGGCTGTTTTGACACATAGTGAACAAACAGAAGCTCGTGTCCACCCAAAAACGAAGCTTTCTTTCCACAAATAGTGCAAAAATTCACCATTTTACAATTTTTTTTCTATAAAATCTTTTCTGAATATCTCGAGACTCGAGGTGTAAACACAACGAAAGCCGACCGAACAATGACGGCGCAGAGCGAGAAATCAATAATATGTAATAAACCGCGCCTGACCGCGTTGCATGCCGGTATAGTCCTCACTCCTCTGGATAGCTCAGCATAGAGATTAAATTCCATAAACAGAACAAACCAGTGTTTAAAATATAATGTGGTTATAGGCAAGAATTTGCCCGAGAAAGCCAACGTTCAGTCAACTTGGTGAATATGAAGGTATATGATCGAACAATATTTATACAAGGGTGCTTTTTATAGGATTCTATGAAGTGGCGTCTGTGGCGAATTGCCAAATAGAATATTTGTTGTTGTCATGAAATCTGAGATAATAGGGAGTTTAAGCTTCACGTTTCCGGGAACGGCAAACGGCAGGTTCGAAATTTCTTGGCAAAATTTTCGTTGAACGTTTTCGTTTCATATTTTCTTTCTTGCGTCAAAAGAATAATTATGTATTTCAGTTTTAAAACAGCAAGTTCATTTACTCTTTATTGCCTGATATCCTTTTGACGTATAACGCGAAGCTTTAAACTCTCTAATATGCGAATAAATTCCTTCAAGTTATTGTGATTTTTGAAGCGAGTCATCTACTCTTATATTGTGTCCAGGAAAGCGAAACATTTCGCTTGAAGAAGTGAAATGTTTTGCTTCCAATCCCACAATATATACTATTGAGTATTGTTAGGGGCCACGTACATATTCATGTTGCCACGTAATCGATGTTTAAGCCCCGTTTACACTACGCTCAATTTTTGGTACCCGTACCACTTTTTTGGTTCTTGGACTACCTATTTAGGTAGTCCAAGAACCAAAAAGTAGTACGGTACCAAAAATTGAGGTAGTCCAAGAACCAAAAAGTGGTACGGTACCAAAAATTGAGCGTAGTGTAAATGGGGCTTTAATATCATCAGTACCACAGAGGGACACTCCTTTGATGTTAGGCGATCGCGCCGACAATACCTGCAAACACCCCAATCTCGTACCCAGAGCAATGTCTGTGCGCGGGCTAGGATGGCATTGGCTCTGGGGAAATTGACAACCGGAACCCCTACATTTAGGGGTTCCGGTTCTTTGTCGGCATGCACGATTGATAAACGTTAAACCAATCACAGCACAGGAAAAATTCAATTTCCCCAGAGCCAATGCCATCCTAGCCCGTACACAGGCATTGCTCTGGGTACGAGATTGCAAACACCCGCGAGCGAGCGGCGGCCATGTTCTTATAGGTAGTATATAGCGTGAGAATTTTACTATAAACAATATGGCGAAAACTGCACTATGATTATTAAAACTGCTCCTTTTGGAATATAAGTGGACTATTTTCTTCTGTTTTATGAATATTTCGAAGAAAAGGTAAGCGACTTTCTATTTAGTCTGGTAGTGTAATTATTTTTTTCTGGTACAATTTAGTTTCGGGAGCATGAAAGCTCTCATGACAGGCTGACAGCTCATATAAATGTTTTGTCCAAATTATTTTATTATAATTGCAATTTAATCTATATTTACAAGAACAAAATAACAACTTATTTTAAAATGGAGCATATACTGGAACAGATACACCGAAATGATCCATATATTTTGATAAACTTTCGAATTTCAAATGAATATTGCATTAGGGGCGGACCATTAGAAAAGTGATGGGGGGCAAAAGCAAAAAAAAAGTCGAGCAGGGAAAACAGAAAGAAAAAACAATTTGTGCACCAGAAATGTTTGAAAAAAAAAATTCGTGCAGAGACTTTTCAATAGGGAAAATTACAGGGCCTATCAGAGGTACAGTGTAAGGGTGTCCCCCAAATTTGGAAAATAATCGTTTTAATCATGTTTTAAGGAGTTTTTTCGGGGAAAATGTGTTTTAAACCTTAACTAAAGTGATGTTAGTCCAAAAAAAACACCAAACTAAAATGATGTTAGTCCGAAAAATAATTTTTTGACCTTTTTTTTCTTTGTCCCGAAAAAATTTTTGATTCCGGGAAAAAAAAAGTTGCCTCCTCTCTAATAAAACCCATAAACAAACCCAAAAACCCATAAACAAACCATAAACAAAGTTTTCTTAGGTCATATTAATTTAGACTCCCTCTCCTAAACACACACATATATATATATATATATATATATATATATATATATATATATATATATATATATATTTGTTGTTTGTTTTTTAGAATTGGATCAAAAAGGTGGTTGCAGGTATTCAGATCCTGGAATGCTGTGAAATGGCCCTGCTGGACCTGTTGGAACATTCTATTGGGTGAACATCAAATGATGTGTGGAGTGAAATGAAATGAAATTTCGATTCAATGTGACTGATAGAATTGGAATGGTGTAGATAATGATGATTTTAGTGAATTATGTTATGATGATGCATGGACTGTGATGATGTTGGTGAAGCTTGATTTATAACATAGATATAAAGTGATGATACTGGTGATATATGAGTTGTAAAATGATATGAAATATAAGTGATACATAAGTCTGAACATTCAAGCTAAAATGAGACATGAATAGTAAAAACTGTGACGTGTATGACTCGATTGATTGTTTTTGTGAAGATCGCGCAGGCATAACCCGGGTGCGTTTATAATGTGAGATGTATTGTGATGATGCCAAGACCTGGGTGAATGCCAATGTATCGCCACCCAGGTCAAGTCCCATGTGTTTTGTGTTCAAAACTAAGGTTATGTTCTCATCAGGCTCCAAGCATAACCGGAAAAGCACGTTTCGACCCCGCTAGCTGGTCTTGGAACTACGTGCTCGCATATAAATATTCATTTCTGTTCCTTTGATGAATTATACATGTTTTGCGCGAAAAAATCTGTTGATTACTTCGTCTAGGAACAGTGTGAATGTTAGTTGAATTTGGTATGTGTGCTTTGTGGTGGGTGAAAATGATATGATTCTAATGCGTGATGTGTTGATTTTTGGTTTCGGAATGTAAAAATTGAAATTTACTTACTCGTATAACTGTGGTGAACCGTACTCTGCGTGTAGGCAAGGCGAAAAGGAATTCTTGGGAGGAGAGGGGTTCTAAAATTACGCCCGGGGGGGGGGAGGCGAAAGACGAATCCTAAAATGTAGGGGGTTTGATTGGGGTGGGCTCAGTTAGGGTAGGGTTAGTTGATAGGGTAGGGTTTGGATTATAAGGGTTGGGAATAAGTTTTTGGGTTAAGGTTCCGGTGGGGATTGGGTTAGGTTTGGGATTACTGCTCAGAATAGTGGATTGAAAAGTGTTGAATAGGGAGTGGGCCTGGGAAGTTTCGAGTGGGTTGAGTGTATCGATGTTGTGTGAATGTGTATCTGATGAAAGTGGAAACATCGGTTGAAAATAATATTGAAAGTTGTTTCAAATGGATAGCGAAGGATATATTGATGTTTTGATAGCTTCGTGGCAGAGTTTGTGACAGAAGATTTTTTGCCACAAAATTTGTCTTCCGTCTACTTCTCGTTCTTTGAAAGGTGAACGATAGTTCGAAATGGATGTGACGGTGGTGAGTGTTAAGTAGTGTGAATGCTCCGTGGCACAGTTTGTGACAAAAAGTTTTCTGCCACGAAATTTGTATAGCAATAGAATAGCAGCGGAGAAATTTACACTTTAAAATGCTATTCTTGACAGTGCGCGTGCGCGCTATATATCTATAATTAGTATTCTCTTACAGTTAATTACGGTTGCCATTGAGTAAATTTTAAAAAGAACAAAACAATAGACACTCGGAAAATAGTCAACATTTTATTCAACGTTTCCACTAGGTTTCAGTCGAAACGTTGAATAAAATGTTAACTATTTTCCGAGTGTCTATTGTTTTGTTCTTACAGTTAATACCGTACAGAATGAGGCCGAATTTCGATTATTTATAGACCGATGCCACCCAAGGTTAAATAACCAGTGGAAAGAGGAGATAATTTTGCACAAGATATGAAAGTTTTAAAAAATCCTATAGAATAGCAGCGGAGAAATATATAGTTTAAAATGCTATTCTTGACAGTGCGTGCGCGCTATATATCTATAATTAGTATTGTCTTACAGTTAATACCGTACAGAATGAGGCCGAAATACGATTGTTTATAGACCGATGCCGGCCAAGTTTCAATAACCAGTAGAAAGAGGACATAATTCTGTACAAGATATGAAAGTTTTAAAAAATGCTATAGAATTGCAGCGGAGAAATTTTAGTTTAAAATGCTATTCTTGACAGTGCGTGCGCGCTATGTATGTATAATTAGTGTTGTCTTACATATTAGTACAGTATAAGGCCGAATTTCGATTGTTTATAGATTGATGCCGCCCAAGGTTAAATAACCAGTGGAAAGAGGAGATAATTTTATACAAGATATGAAAGTTTTGAAAAATCCTATAGAATAGCAGCGGAGAAATTTATAGTTTAAAATGCTATTCTTGAGAGTGCGCGCTATAATATTATATCTATAATTAGTATTGTCTTACAGTTAATACCGTACAGAATGAGGCCGAATTTCGATTGTTTATAGACCGATGCCGGCCAAGTTTGAATAGCCAGTGGAAAGAGGAGATAATTCTGTGCAAGATATGAAAGTTTTAAAAAATCCTATAGAATAGCAGCGGAGAAATTTATAGTTTAAAATGCTATTCTTGATAGTGCGTGCGCGCTATGTATCTATAATTTGTATTGTCTTACATGTTAGTACAGTATAAGGCCGAATTTCGATTGTTTATAGATTGATGCCGCCCAAGGTTAAATAACCAGTGGAAAGAGGAGATAATTTTATACAAGATATGAAAGTTTTGAAAAATCCTATAGAATAGCAGCGGAGAAATTTATAGTTTAAAATGCTATTCTTGACAGTGCGTGCGCGCTATGTATCTATAATTTGTATTGTCTTACATGTTAGTACAGTATAAGGCCGAATTTCGATTGTTTATAGATTGATGCCGCCCAAGGTTAAATAACCAGTGGAAAGAGGAGATAGTTTTATACAAGATATGAAAGTTTTAAAAAATCCTATAGAATAGCAGCGGAGAAATTTATTGTTTAAAATGCTATTCTTGACAGTGCGTGCGCGCTATATATCTATAATGGTATTGTCTTACAGTTAATACCATACGGTATGAGGCCGAATTTCGATTGTTTATACATTGATGCCGCCCAATGTTAAATAACCAGTGGAAAGAGGAGATAATTTTATACAAGATATGAAAGTTTTAGAAAATCCTATAGAATAGCAGCGGAGAAATTTATTGTTTAACATGCTATTCTTGACAGTGCGTGCGCGCTATGTATCTACAATTAGTATTGTCTTACATATTAGTACAGTATAAGGCCGAATTTTGATTGTTTATAGATTGATGCCGGCCAAGTTTCAATAACCAGTGGAAAGAGGAGATAATTCTGTACAAGATATGAAAGTTTTAAAAAATCCTATAGAATAGCAGCGGAGAAATTTATAGTTTAAATTTCTTAGCAAATTGTATTGAATATTTGTTGGCAGTGTGGATAGCTGTTAGGAAAGTATCGTTTTGGAGTGCTTTGAAATGCGTTTGTAAGTTTGTGTGCGGATAACCATAAAGGTAGTAGTTAGCTAATGTGACCTGCATGGTTTATTTCTCCCAAATTGATTTGGGAAAGAAGAAATGGCTGTATTTATCATTTTGACTTTTGAGTGATTGAAATTAGTTAATTTACACAATATCGAATATCATGTTGAATGTCATGTTGAATCTCATGCGTACTTCACAGTGGTGATATTTCTGCCGGCGGAATATATACAGGGCATATATCACTGTGAATGTTTATATCATTATAGTGGTTAATTATAGAACCACAATATAAATATATAATTTAAACTTTCACAGTGAAGTAGCGATATATCCACATGTTTTAACGTTGTATCCTATGATACAACGAAGTGATTAGACGATAAACATCATACATTGCTGAAGAGTGAAGTCAGTCGATCGTGAAATGTTTAACCTCGCACTGTAAAACTTACCCTGCATACACTTGAAGAATGAACGCCTTGGCTTGCTCCATGCCGTCTTACTGACCACACCATAAAACCCAGATTCAAATTTAGCTTGCTGTATGTACACCAAGTATAAAATTATGAAATAAACCAAAGTAAATTAATTTTTTTAACAAGCGCTCATGCATGCCGTGCCATTGCATGCGGATAACTTGAAACCGTAAACGACCCGGAACCGTTGCCCAGGGAGCCCAATTGAATGTCGAGTGTCGAGTAGTCGAGGGTATATAAGGAGTCGAGGGTTCTGAAAATCTCGTTCGCATTTTTTAATGCATTTTACATGTGCAAACATTTAAGAACAGGAAGTAGAATGATTCAAATTTGTGTCGAAAACTTTGGTTTACGAGTACATGTATATATATTTTAATTTAGTGGAATTATATAAAATAGTCGGTTCACTTACTAGTCGATCGGTCAATATAGCTTTGTATTTAGAACTTCCGATTTATGTTCATTCCTAGTTATGACGTAATCGAGAAGATGAAAATTCTTAGATCGAGGGTGTTTCCAGGTATAGTAGTTGCTGCCCGGCTGGTTGAGGTAAGTATTTGTAACCACAAGTCCGAACTGCGTGAAAAAATTCAGTAAAAGTTCGCCATTCGAATTGCAGCAGCCCTTTCCGAACTTTCCAAGCGCTGGCCCATACAGATCATGATCGCTCCCCACTCTGGCGTTGAAATCACCGAGAATCACCAACTTTCGGCTGCTGGAACTCTTCCGACAACGTGGGACAAACTTCAGTAATACTCCTCCTTTTCCGGTTCAGGATAAGTCATTGTCGGTGCATAAGTTGAATTATCGTCGCAAATTTGTTATTGCTCAGTGGTAGTCTCATCACTATTATCCTGCCAGATATTGCTTTCGGTAATGTGTTCATTTTCTTCAGAACGTCATTCCTCACAGCTAAGGAGACTCCCCTTTTATACTTTCACCGGCCTCGACTCCAGACCAGAATATTGAGAATTCTTTTCCCTTAATCATGTCATTGCCTTCCAGTCTAGTTTCTTGTAAGGCTGCGACGTCCACTCCATTTTCTTCTAATTCTTTAGGTACTGCTGCAGATATCTTCTTTCTATGCGTTGCGCTTCGTTTCTGTCCAACAAAGTCCTGACATTCCAAGTTGCCAATTTAGCTACTTTTCTTAAATTCCTACCGCTTAGAAGAAGTCCTGTCGACCGCGCTCTGTCGACCAGATAAGTATAAGTGGGCTTTGTTTACCCCTCCTTTTATAATTTACAATTTATAATTTATTATACTTTGCCCAAACATGCAGGCTTGGAAACCGCAATTAACTGCGGATCCATTATAAAACATCAAGTTTAATATCAACTAACAATATTAACGATTACAATTACCAACAAAACATACAAACATATACAGACATTAACAACATTAAAGCTACGTTTACACACCGCGATCCACCGCGTGCGATTCACCTTCTGGCGGGCTCTGGCGTATGTCATATGATAAACACGCGTAAGCTGGCTACATTTGAAATTTATGAATTATGGCGCCATGCAGCACTCACTTTAATACGCCAAACACCAACCGCACACGAAAAATCGCGACGCCTAAACGTACCTTTTTAAGACATACAAACATTAAAAACAACCGACATAGGAAGAGACAGAAGACTACGGGCACAGCCACACTTAACACAAATTGACTTCCATGTCCGTGCATCTTCAGAGTCATAAGTTCATTTTAAAGCACCCTGGTAATATTGATCTGATAATTATCGGGGCGTCCCCTGATTGGGGAAAGCTGTGTGTCCCTAAATAGGGCAGCTCGGTCGCTACGATAGGACCTTGAACCGGCTCCACCAGTTACCAAGCTCCGACTGACGGCCATCACATCGCAGCCGCTTACGTGCAAATCTCCTGCTGGTAGCTTAAGTACCTGATATCCAATGGAACGAAGTATTCGTGATGATTGGCAATGCTCAAGCTGCCACGCAGTAGCCAGCTGCTAACTTGGCTTGGTTATCGCTTCCGGTTGACGCTATGTAAAAACGTTCCTCCGCTAATCGATACTGTCTTCGGACCGTTGACAGTCATCGATTCTTCCGCTCCCCCGACCAGGATTCCCTGATGCCGTGTGTCCTGTGCTCGTATCCCTGAGCCGAGGCTCTTCCCGGGTGCTACCAACCGGAGCCAGTTGGACCCATATAGTAACTATATGACAATTTGAAACAGTATAATGCTTTTCCCAGATTGTGTTTGCCATGCATTTTTGGTACGGCATGCAAGGCTGTTTATGCATCCAAATGCACAATCTGTTATTATAGGTAGGTTTCAGTAAGTGTTATACATGCGGAAACGCAATTTTACATGCATGTATTAAAGAATTATATCTACATTACATCGCCGGGGGGGCTTGTCATAGTCGTATTTAGCGACTATATGTACATAACAGTAAATATATTGCGTGCATTTGCAACCAAAAGGAAAATAACCGAGATACAACTATACGTTCCCTTTTAGAGTTGTTTAAGTGCAAAAATCTCATATTGCGCAAGACAGATATTTTACGGCAAATTGTATTATTGCCAGCTAGCCTAC